ACAGCCACATTACGGACACATCTTTCTCCACGTTTGTAAGGTACAGCAGGGAAGACATAAAGATGCACAACAGCAGCAACACCCATCTGTTTGACAAGCAGAAGAGCACAGGTTTAAATTTTGGCCCGTAATGAAGAGATTTCAAAAAGAACCATAGGAAACAAAAAAAAAAAAAAATGGTAAAGCATTTTCCTGTTACAACACATACAGTAGCAGATATCTTACGCTTCAGCTCACTAATTACTATAAAACTAGACTGGGGCATCATCTTTAATTTCATCTCTACATCTTTTAGTAGCAAGAAATATGTAGACATCTTCACAGCCATTCATTAATACAATCTTGTATGCGTGTTTTCAACTCCTGAACCAAAGACCCCTTAAAACTCCCATGGAAAAGAGAAATGCAACAGCTATACCTTGCCACCAGGTCAAGAATATAATTGACTTGAATGTCAGAAATTTAGCCAATGGTTTGATTGGCTCCAACTTCTCTTTAGTGACAGAATAGAACTGAACAAGACAGTATAGTGCCTAGCTCTGACCAAGAATGAGGTGTAACCAAGAACTGATATGTTAATGTCTGGACCCCATTATAATCAACAAACATAGATATTAGATTAATATATATATTGGACAATAATTGCTATATTATCTAATTCAACACACTTATTAATAGATTATTATTTTCAAATTTGAATTCATAACAAAAAAATTTTAAGTATAGAATTTAATAGTTAAATTGGTGAGTGTTAATTAGTGTAGTAAACTAAAATGTATATCAATTATTTTCCATATATATTATAAAGATATGCATGTTTAGTATTTATATGATAGTAAGATTTCTTAAAATATTTGATATATTTTTTTCAAATTATACTAAATATATCTTCATCTAGCTACTTACAAACTAAAGTTGCATGAATCATGTAGGGTCTTTTCTGACATTTGTTTAATTTGATCATATTGGAATGAAATAAATAATAAGTTTAGTTCATCAATCACAATTTTTTTTAACAATAAAATATAATTTTATTCATTTAGAGTAGAAGAGGTATTCCAACCCATTCATCGATTACATTCTTATCACATGCTAATAACTATACCCCTCCACAACCCCACTTTCTTTCCCACATTTTTCTCACTTAGCTTATCTCATGCATTCCTTTAGATATATCATCCAATCTATAAGTGAGATTGCCAAGCCCTTATTTTTAGCTTTTATCCATTCCCATGATCTAATTTGGATATTATCAAACACCCTTATAGCTTCTAGTTCTTTATCTTTGGATACACGATTGTTTTTGGACAACCATAAGGACCAAACACAAGCAAACCATATTACCTCCCACCCTTCTGTTCATCAATCACAATTAAAAAAGAAGTTTATTTCATCAATATTAATCCTAATTAACACTATGGTCACAGATAATTAACAATCTGTGTCTCAAAAGTCCCAACCTGAATAAAATATGAAGGTCCAAGGTCCGTGATTAATAAGGGACATGAAGGAATACAAAAAAAAAAAAAAAATTGAGTCCCCATGATTAATTACTATGGATTACATAATACTATGATGAATTCTTATTAATACGAAGGGGGAATGAAAGGAAAACGGAAAGAAATTGAGGCTTGGTTGAAGATGAGGGTAAAAAAGTAATTTTAGATTTATAATTTGTTTGGGCTTAATTCAATAATTAGTCTATTAACTATCAATCTAATTTCATTTTAGTCTAGAAAGTTTGTTTTCTTTCTAAATGGTCTATAAACTTTGAAGAATATTTCAAATTAGCCTATCATACAAATTAAGTTTTTGTTAAATCTAATGGAAAATAGCACTCTTTTAAGTTTTAAAAAAGTGACACTATAATCCCAATAAAATATGATGACTCAAGAGATATTTTATAGAGATAAATTAGTTAGAATTTGTAATAAATTTGAGCAAATAGCTCAATTCAAACAGAGAAACTTAGTAAGTTTAGAACGAGAAGTTTCAAGAGTAAGTCTGTTTTACAAGATAGACTGCATATAGTTCGAACCTGTAAAATTATTTAAATGTCCCTGAAAAAATAATATAAAAATAAAATTAAGGATATTTAAATAATTTTATAGAATAAATTGTATGCAGTCTGTCCTATAAAACAATTTTCTAAAAAACACATTTAACAAGATTAGAATAAAAACTATTTTTCAGGTGAATATAAATTTAAGGATTAAAAAATCAAAAAAATATAGTTAGAGTGCGAAATGTTTTCTGACAAGATAAGAAAATTTCCATTATCTTTAACAGAATTAGATGAACTTGAAATAAATGTGAAAGATAATAGACATGATTGAAAAAATTCAAAGATAATAAATGAAATTGAAAAGAATATAAAAGTTAATAGATGATTTATTAAATTAAGCCATTAGTTTGAGATATTTTAACTTTTCATTGGGAAGTACATGTCAAGTCAATTTGCCATGTTGTCAATCCTACGTGTATAAATATTTTTGCATGTCATTCTTTTTCTATTAGGTAAGGTTACACATCAACAAATTTTTAACAAGAGGACCAAGTTGGAGCCAAAATATCAAATTTTATCCATATGAAAGTTGAGGGACCAAAAATGAAGGTTTAACTTTTACAATTCAAATTGCATCAAATTGTAAAACTATAATCATAAGA